CATTTTCTCTGTCTCCCATGCTTGGAATGCTCCCCGTCCCCTTCTCTATGTACCAGCTTCCTTTAAGTCCCAACTAAAATTCCACCTTCTACAGGAAGCCTTTCCCAAGCCCTCTTAATGCCTTCCCTCTCTTAATTTCCCATTGATCCTGTTTGTACCTATCTGTTTGCTTGTTATCTCCCCTCCAGACTGTGAGCTCTTTGAGGGCAGGGACTGCCTTTTGCCTCTTTTTATATTCCAGCACTTAGCACAATGCCTGGCACATAGTAGGTGCTTAAGCACCTATAAATAAATATTTATTGACCAACTAGTTTCATAAAATCTCAAGCCCCACCCCTTTCTCCCTGACTTCTGCCCCCCCCAACGGAATATAAACTTCTTGAGGGCATGGTAGGGACAGTTTCACTTGTATTATATCCCCAGCCCTCAGCACAATGCCTGACACATAGTAAAACCTTAATAAGTGCTCTATCTTTCTAACATACCCTTGCAATAAGCAAAAGTATTGTTGTTGACTCAGTCTCTGACATCTCTCTCATATCCATTCCTTCTTCTCTCCTCCACTGTCCCCAGAATAGTCAACATAGACCTGTGCACTTGCCATTTCCTTTTCCAGCTCATTTTACAGATAGGGAAACCGAGGCAAAAGAGATAAGTGATTTGCCCAGAGTCACACAGCTAATAAGTGTCTGAGGAGTCCCCCTGACTCCAGGCCCAGCACTCTACCTGCCACCTAGCTGCCCCCAAATAGCTAGTATTTACATAACACTTTAAGGACTGTGAAATACTTTCCTGCCTGCCAGGTTATTTTAATAACCTCCTCCTAGGTCTTCTTTCCTCTACACTTTCCCGTCCTCCAGTCCATGCTTGACCGTGCAGCTAATGATCTACACGCTCAAAGATCCATCTCTCCTTTGCTCAAAGCTTTTTGCTGGATTCTTATTACCTTCCAAATAAAATCCAGATTCCTTCCTTAGCCCGGCACTCAAGGCTTGCTAAGATGTCATGCCGCCTTGCTTTTCTATCCCTATCTCATACTACTCCTCTGCCTCCTTGAAAAAAACACACAAGCTTCTTGAGGGCAGGGACTTCAGGACAGGGACTGTCTTCTTTATATCCCTGCTGCCTAGCACAGCGGTTGGCACTTGGAGGGCATGAATACACGCTTGTTGACTTGACCAAGGTCACATGGTAAGTAAGCATCAGAGTCAGGATTAAAATTGTGGTTCTCTCATTCCAGATTCAGCTCTGAATCAGAGCCATAAGGAATCTTAAAGACCAACTGGGCCTACCCCGTTGAAGTAGAGATAAATAAACTGAGGCTCAGAGAGGGAAATGACTTACCTAAGGTCACACAGAGAGAAAGTGGCTAAATCTGGACTAGATTCGGGTCAGATTTCTCTTTACTGCATCCTTTGCATACTCGAGAGCTGCTTATGTGCATTCTGCCTGTGGTCCAGGGGGCCGCTTTCCTCAAGAGTAAGAGCTGGCTTCCACTGCACCTCGCAGTAAAATGCCGTTTTTTCACTTTTTGGAAAATGAAATGTGTAATTCTGAATAGTAATAGTGCCCCCTGCTGAGTCTTCCATCTCCCCATCTTTTTTCTATGGCATGAAGCAGCTTTGGAGAAGGAAAGTTATTTGCATTCATCATTTAAAATGCTCAATCCTACCGTAGGCTTGCTTTGAATAATCATCAGGGACAATATGTGACCTTAGTCCCCAACGTGTCCTCTTTGATCCAGTGACTGGCTTCCCGGCTGTTCCACGACCATATCTACAATATGTGACAATTTTGTGCTTCTGTCAAAGCTGCAGAAAACAATGCATTCTATGGTTTGGAGTTAAAAGAGCTGGGGCTGAAGTCCAACAGTGTTACAGCCGGAAGGGACCTTACAGGTCATTCAGTCTACTGCCCCTTACATTTTAGGAAACTGAGGCATAGGAAGACATGCTCACAGAACTAATTAATAACCTGGGTCTCCTGAATGCCAATCCATTTAATATAGTCACCCTAGAAAGGGCTTCCTCAAGTGGCCAGTATTCGGAAGAGCCCTGATTCTGCTTCTTCCTGGCTGAGTGACCTTCACCTCACCTGCAAAATGGGGACAATAGTTCCTGCCCTACTTATCTTACCAGGGTTGCCATGCGGGTCAGATGTAAAATATTTCATAAGCAGAAAGCTACATGCAAATGTAACATGTTGTTGTTAATGTTGGGACTAATAACGATGCAGTTCAAATAATTACATGAAGAGTCCATAGTTCCACTTACACCTGCCCTGCTAAGGGTTGTGAAGCCCTTCTTGCGGCACCAAGACCCTGCCATGAATTTATGTTTGTAGGTGGTGCCATGGGTGAAATGGTGCATTTGGCATCAGGAAGAACTGAGTGTGAATCCTGCTTCAGACCCTAACTAGCTGTGTGACCCTGGGCAAGTCACTTAACATGCCTCGGTTTCTTATCTATAAAATGAGGAGAATAACAGTATTCACCTCATAGGGTTGTTGTGAGGATCAAATCAAATAAGACAAAAAGGAAAGTATTTCACAGTCCTTAAAGTGTTATGTAAATACTAGCTATTTGGAGGCAGCTAGGTGGCAGTTAGAGTGCTGGGCCTGGAGTGAGGAGGACCCCTCAGACACATACTGGCTGTGTGACTCTGGGCAAGTCGCTTAACTCTTTTGCCTCAGTTTCCTCATCTGTCAAATGAGCTGGAAAAGGAAATGGCACACCACTGGCAAACCAACTGGGAAATCTCTGCCAAGAAAACCCCAAATGGTGTCACAAAGGGTTGGACATGACTGAAACAACTCCACAACAATGACATTTTCATAGTTTATAGCCAAGTTAAAGGGTGGTCACTTACTTGGCGGTCATTCCATGCTCCTGACTGAGCATCATCCCCTAGTTTTCTATGCAGTGGTTTTTAGGGGACTTCCAAGGCCTTCACTGAGACTAAACAGGTTGGAGCAGAAAGATAATTTAATCCAGCCCTTGTACCGAGGGGCAAACCAAGGCCCAGAAGGTCACAGGGCTACTCAGTAACAGAGTGGGGGCCAATCTCCTGATTCTGGGCCTCTTCCCACCATACCGTTCTGCGGCTTCCCTGATTCGTTAACTCGACAAATGTTTCTTAAGCACTTACCGTGAGCGCTGTACTGGGTGCTGGGGGTTGGGGTGTTGATACACAGTTTTACAAAAAACTCCGGGTTTGCTCTCATGGAGTTTATAGTCTAAGAAGTACAATACACAACAATAATGATGGTGCAGTACATGACAAATGCGTTAAAAGTGCAAAATGAAATTTGCTGTGAGTCTGAAGGGAGGCGGATACTGTTACTGACCTTCCCTGTGGGACCCCACAACTGATAAACATTTATCAATCACTTCCCCCCATTAGCACTGGAAGGAACCTAATGCTTCATTTATTGTACCCCTTACAGATCCTCTTACAGATCATCGGATTGTAGCTAGAGCTGAAAGGGACTTCGTGGGTCATTCGGTCCAACGCTCCCATTGCATAGATCAGAAAGGCCCAAAGTAGGGAATGGCAGAGCTGGGCCCCAAACCCAGATCCCCTGCCCTCCAGTCCAAGCTGGACTGGCAAGACAAAGCCACCGAGAGACAAGGTGTGGCACGAGGCAGCTTGGATTAAGTGACAAATGAGTGTTGGAGACAACAGCATAAGGGTACCGGGGATCACTGAATTGAAGCCATCAGAGAAGGCTTTGAGGAAGAGGTGGGACTTGGATTGGACTCTGAGGAGAAAATCGGATTGGGATGAGGGATGAGAAGTAGGTTGGTGGGAGCCCAAGGATGCACACAATGCGTTTAGAAGAGAGTGAGGAAGATACTTGTGGGTGGAATGAATGTCTGCATAGGGAAATAGTGGGAGGTTAAGGTTAGAATCACAGGTAAAAGTCAGATTGTGGGGAGAGGAGAGGGATCATGGTATTCCTTAAGGCACAGAATTATAAAAACCTTATTTTAAAACTAAGAAGAACTTTATTGATCCTCTAATTAAAAAATTTTAGAGATCACCTGATTTTTTTTTTTTAGGCAATTGGGGTTAAGTGACTTGCCCAGCCTCACACAGCTAGGAAGTGTCAAGTGTTTGGTCTGAGGTCGGATTTGAACTCAGGCCCTCCTGACTTCAGGGCCAGCGCTCTATCCACTGCGCCACCTAGCTGCCCCCCCCAGAGATCACTTAATTAAAAAAAAAATTTTGAAGATCATCTAATTTAACTTATTCACTTTATAGATAGGGGAACAAGTCTAGAGTGGACTTTGCCTCTTACTGTCCACATGACCTTGGAAAAGCCACGTCATTTCTCTGTGCCTGAGTTTCCTCATCTGTAAAATAAGCAGATTGGATTAGCTTGGTGGTTCTCAAAGTGTGATCTGCAGTCCCCAAAGTCCTATCACGGGATCTAAGAAGTCAAAATTATTTTCTTAATAATACTTAGCCATTTTAATTTCTAATGTAGTAAATATTGAGAGCCATAACCCAGGTAAGTTAATGCTCTGTGGGATTCCTCAATGATTTTTAAGACTTGGAAAAGGGTCCTGAGACCAAAAAGTTTGAGAACTGCTGGATTTTATGATGTCTAAGATTCCTTCTAGCTATATCTTATTGATCTGACGAGTGCAAACACATTAATTCTAAAATCTGGCCGAGTCTCCTTTGGGGCAAACATAATAAACATTCATATTTATCTTGCATTTTAATGTTCCCAAAATGCTTTCCACATGATAATCCTGTAAGACAAGCAGTGTCAGGCAGGGATTATGATCCCTATTTTACAGATATGGAAACTGAGGCTCAGATTATGCAACTGGTCCAGGGGTCATTGAGGCAGAAACCCAGACATTAACCATCCCTTTGTTTTCCGCCTTTTCCCCTTTTGCATGGGAAAATCGCAGGGATGGGGAAATCCAGAATGTCAGAGACGATGGCTGGGCCCAAAGAAGAGCCTGCGGTTGTGGTGAAACCACTCACCTGGACAGGACAATGTTCATTGCGACTGGAGGAAGCCAGATCTGCTTCAGAAGCAAGAATGGGGACTTGGTTTGAAATAAACAACAATGAATCCTCCGGGCAGGGTGGAAAGGCAGACGGATGAGGTGCAGCTGTTGTCACCTGGCTCAGGTGAAGCTGGAGGCCGTTGCTGGGGCGATGCTCCCAACAGCACAGAGCCTGGGGAGGAGTCTGGCAGGTTGCCCCAGTAACGGCGCACTGGAGGCCAGCCCTGCCGGGCCCTAATCCAGCCAGCCTCCCAGGTCACGCCTCCTGACTTCTCTCCCAGAGGATCAAAGTGTCCTTTAACCCAACCAGCCTCCTCCCCCCCCCAAAAAAAAAACCCAAAACAAAACCAATTAAGCCTTTACAGACTTAGATTCTTACAGAACTGGGGGGAGGCTGCAAGGGGGAAGGAGCAGAGGCAAGTGGAGGGGTGGATGATACTTCCCTAGGGGGAGATTTCTAAGAGACAGAAAGGGACAGTGGGGGCATCTCAATTAGTGACCATATCCACTTGTTCTCAGACCCTGGTATTCAGGGTGCTAGCTAACCTAGGTACAAAGGTGTTGCTGATGACATTTGCCTTTTTTAAAGTCTTATCGCAAGCAGTGGATGGAGCACTTGACCTGGAGTCAGGAAGACTTGAGCTCAGATCTGAACTCTTGACTCTTACTAGCTGAGCAACCCTGGGTAAGTCTCACCTGTAAAATAAGCATAATAATAGTACTTAGCTCCCAGGGTTGTTGTGAGGATCTAAGGAGATAATATTTGTTAAGTGCTTTGCAAACCTTAAAGTGATATGTAAATGCTAGCTGTGACCGATGGTTAGCTGGGTGGCATAATGGATAGAGACCCTGGTCTGGAGTCAGAAAGGCTCATCAAATTTAGCCTCTGACACTTACTAGCTGTGTGACCCTGGGCGAGTCACTTGATTTCTGTCTGCCTCAGTTTCCTTGTATGTAAAATGAAGATCATTATTTCCACCTACTTCCCAGGGGGTGTCGAGGGAATCAAATGAGATAGTTTTCCTAAAGCACGTTGTAAACCTCATGGTGCTCTATCATCGCTAGCTATTATTATGCCTTGCCATTTCTAAAGCTAAATCGAGGCTCTTGACTCCTAAAACTCAGTCTCCTTCCTACTCCCTCCAACATCATTGAGAGTTGTGTTGTAGCTGTTCAGATGTGCCTGACTCTTCGTGACACCATTTGGGGTTTTCTTGGCAAAGATACCGCAGTGGTTTGCCAGCTCATTTTACACATGGGGAAACTGAGGCAAACAGGGTGAAGTGACTTGGCTAGGGTCACACAGCTAGTCAATGTCTCAGGCTGGATTTGAATTCAGGTCCTCCTGACTCCAGGCCTGGTGCTCTATCCACTGCATCACCTAGGAGAATTGTAGGGGTTTTTTAAAAAAAATTTTTTAGGCGATTGGGGTTAAGTGACCTGCCCAGGGTCACACAGCTAGTAAGTGACAAATGTTTGGCCTGAGGCTGGATTTGAACTCAGGTCCTCCTGACTTCAGGACCAGTGCTCTATCCACTGAGCCACCTAGCTACCCTGAGAATTGTAGTTTTTAATAAAGGAGCTCTAGCCACACTGGGTTTCTGGTCTGCTTTCTCCATGACATTCCATCTCCCACCTCCCTTCCTTTGCATAGGCTGTCCGGTGTGCCTGCCATGCTCACCCTCCTCACTTCTGTGTCTTGGAAGCTTCAAAGCTCAATTCAAGTGCAACCTCCTTTAAGAGGATTTCTCGATTCGTTCTCTTGTTAACCACCCTCCTCCCCCATCACAACTTATTTATTTTACATACACATTCTATATTCCATGAAGCAGCCGATGAAGAATTGCCCTGAAAGTCAGGACCACCTGGGTTCCAGTCATCCCTCTGGCCCTGTGACCCTGGCAACGATATTAACCGCTCAGTACCCAGAGCTGCAGGGTGCTGCAACCAAAGGCAACCGTTGTCTGCCCCAGGGGTGGGGGCCCTATACTGGCAAAGGGGGTTCCTTACCAAGGAAATCCCCACACTGATGAAATCACAGATCCAGACAGACACAATGCCTTTATTTACTGATCAGCAAACCGAAACAGCCTGGTGGAATGTGGGATTGTTGAGAGTGGACACTAATCTAACTTTCCTATCTGTATCCCCAACACTTCAAACTGTGCCAGGTACTAGCAGGCATTTAATAAACATTGATTGATTAAGCGATAGCCCCCTTTCTTTTCTTTTTTTCTTTTTTCTTTTTTTTTGGTGAGGCAATCAGGGTTAAGTGACCTGACCAGGGTCACACAACTAGTAAATGTCAAGTGTCTGAGGCCAGTTTTGAAGGTAGCCCCCTTTCTAAACGAGATGCTGGGCTCTACCCGTGGAAAACTTTCAGTTATGTGAACTTTCCAATTGCTTGGATTCTGAACGAATTTATTATGCAGCATGTCCCAAAAGTCTTAGTTCAATTTTAAGCTATTGAAAATTAAAACTTAAACCATTAAATAAACAAACTATCCTAATAAATTAAACTATATAAATAAATAAACCCTAAATATGAATTACTGTGTGTATGTGCATAAGCTAGAAATATAAGCAAACTATTTAGATAAATAAAACTTTAAATAAATAAACCATAAATGTAAATATACTCTTATACACAAATGACAAATGTAAATAAGCTATTTAAATAAATTAAAGAAGCCATTTAAATAAACCATAAATATACTATATATAAACTACAAATATAAACTATTGAAACAAAAAAACCATAAATATAAATACGCTGTAGATACATAAACTATAAATATAAACAAACTAAATAAAAATAAACAATTAAATAAATATAAAATAGCTTCAAATGAGCTTTTGAACCTTGAAACTGCACTAAGACTTTTGGGACACCCTGCGTATGAACATTTCCAACAATGAACTTCAGCCACTAAGTCCTTTCTATGAGCATCACAAGGTCCAGAACACTAGTTCAGGCCCTTATTATCATCCCTTGACTAGAGTATTTTAATAGCCTCTTTGGCTTCCATCTCTTCCTGTGCTGGCTCATCTTCATATGCCTGCCAAAACAATTTTTCCTAAGATGCAAGTCTGACCTTGTCATTCCCTTACTCAAAAAATCCATTTGTCCCTATTGCTTCTAGGGCAAAATAAAAATTCTTTAGTCTGGCCTTCAAGGCCCTCCCCTGTCTGGTTCCAACCTTTTTTTTTTTTTCTGGCTAATTTCCTATTCCTTCTGTTTACATACTCCGTGTTCCTGCCAGATTGGACCACAAGGAATCTCCAGTTTCATCACGTCTCTCCCCTTCTTCTCCCTTACCCAAACCCATTACCCAACCTGCACGGCATTGCCTTTTCATCTCTGCTCATTCAAAACACCCTCTTCAGTTCAGACATCTCTGTCATTCAGAGATGTCTTAAAGAGCTTGCCTTGAGGGGAGGGGGAGCAAGTCACTAAAGACCCTGAGATGGGCCAACTTTGCCCAGCCCTGGAAGAGGTGAAGCTTTCCCAGTCTCAGAGCCAGAAAGAAGAGTTTTTAGCTGCAGTGATGAGACACACAGAAAGTGGTCATTGCATTAACAACAGCAAATGAATAGAAGAGAGGACTGCCCCCAAACCTGGCAGCAGCCGGCCTCTTCTTCTTTCCTGGGTTCACCCCTTGTCTCATTAAGAGAATTCAGTTGGGAGGGACTGAACGATCATGGCCACCTTTCTATTTTCATTCCGGGGTTTTGCCTCTTGATTTATTGTCTAGTCAAACAGGCAACTTTGTTAACTATTAAGTGTCTCTCTGCTCATCTAAATTTGCTTCTTGATTGGATTTTAACGATGGTTTTCCTAGATAAAGATAATTTTCTGTGAGTCCTGGGGCAGGGTCTTTAAAGAATGTGGGAAAAGGAGAAAGTCAATGGATAGCAGACTGAATGGAATCTTATCAGTTAGAAGCCTCATTTCCACCCTGGCAACTGAAAATTGCCCCAGGGCTCAGAATTTTTACGACTTTTATTAATAATGCTATTAATAATTTGTAATTAATTATTATTAATAATTTTTCCTAGCCTTACAATTTTTGTTGTTATTGTTGTTGTTGTTTCAGACTCTTCGTGATCCCATTTGGGGTTTTCTTGGCAGAGATACTGGACTGGTTTCAGCTCATTTTACAGATGAGGAAACTGAGGCAAACAGGGATAAGTAACTTGCCCAGGGTCACATAGCTAGTAAGTGTCTGAGGCTGGATTTGACTTCAGGAAGATGAGCCTTCTTGGTTCCAAGCCCAGTGTGCCACCTAGCTGCCCCATCTCTGTCCTGAGCATGGGCGGGGGGAGAAGAAAGAAAGCTATGTGAAATTGGGACTCTTATGCTAGGTCAAAACCTCTCCATATAATCTCTGTCTCTTCAGCCTACAACTCAAGAGTAGGGAGGGAAAGCAGGGAAGGAAACCTCAAATTAAGGTCATGTCCTAAGTAGCCAATTTGGAGAACTGCATGGTTGGGGAGTATAATGATAGCCAATATTTATACAGCTCTTTAAGGTTTGCAATATGCTTTATTTATCTCATTTGTTAGCACATTTGATTCTCGCAGCAACTTTGTGTGGTAGGTATTATTATTACCTCTGATGCTAAGGGAGATTAACTGATTTTCTCAGAGTCACACAGAGCTAATAATATCTGAGGCAGGATTTTGTACTCAAATTTCCTGACTTCTAGGGGCAGCTAGGTGGTAAAGTGGATAGAGCAGTGGGCCTGAAGTTAGGAAGACCTGAGTTCAAATTTGGCCTCAGACATTGACTAGCTGTGTGACCCTGGGCAAGTCACGTAACCCTGTCTGCCTCAGTTTCCTCATCAGCAAAAATGAGCTGGAGAAGGGGATGGCAAACTGCTTCAGTAGCTTTGTCAAGAAAACCCCCAGACAAGGTCATGAAGAGGCCTAAAGAACAACAAATACCAAAAGGTACTGAATATATGGTGGTTCATCCATTGCTTGAGTGATTCTGACCCGGACATTTTAATGTCCCACCAAAAAGCAGTCATAATCCCTCTCCAAGAGTTTTCAGCTCAGTTCACTAAGGAATTTCTTTCTTCTACAGAGACAATTCATCGATTTTATGTGAATCAAAAAGCTAATAAGATTCGATTTA